GGTGCCATCAGTTCTTACTGTCGGCGAGTCGACCGGCGATTAATTTACACAAATCTGTAACTTTGAGTCTAACTTTTATGAAAACGATGTAAAGTACTCATGGCAAGCAGTGTTACAAAGTAATGTAATCTGCCCATGTCTGAGATTTTAAAGGAGTTACGGTTTTTATGGGTGGGGTATCTTTCAGTGACGCCTAATATTTCACACAATCTATGTATTTATAAAGCAACTGCTACTTGTACCGGTCACTTTGCAAATTTAGTTAAAAAAAACTAAAACCACTGAATTACAAGATTCAGAAAGCTGTTGCAAGTTGATCTTAAAAATATTATTTTTTAACGGCGATCTAATCATCTGGTTCGTTGTTTATTATACCAAGGATAATTCAATTTTGTTTACTTACTGTTGCATTAGTTAATTTGCGTTCCTCGCCTTTTCACCCGTACTACAACCTAAGATATTGGAATAGGCCGCTTCGATGGTAAAAAAGATGAGTTCTCTCTAATCAAATTTCATATAATGTAACGCTGATGGCAACTGGCTGCCTATTTCCACTAGTCCCCAATGGTTATTCCAGGCATCCAATACGTTAGTTTTATTTTCAATATTCTTTGCAATAGCTTGTAAGGAAAAAAAGATTGTTGTTGTTGTTAATCTGATTATCTTAAGCAAGGGGTTCTGTGTCAGACTAAGTTAGCCTTGAATACTTCGAGTTCATCCAATTCAAAAAACATTTTCTCAGAGAAGTCAGAATCTTCATCAAAACTGTAGTCAAAGCCGCTACCTAGATCAAGAGTTGCGCTGAAGTTACCCCGTACTTCAAGGTCATAGTGCCTTTGGGTTCCAAAGCAAGGGCCTATTACATCATAACACCTTATGCCACCATGCGCACCGGGTGTTGGATTAATCCTTATCGGTTCACTTCCAGAAGGACCTTCCAGCGTGAATAGGAAAGATTTGCTATCTTCAATGCCTCGCACGGATAGAGCTGGGAAAGAAAAGGTCGAATGTAACATATGGAGAGGAAATGGAAAGGAAAACAAATGGGGTAACAAATAAATGGTCGTGGTCACAAAATGTGATTACATTCACTTTTACTGCTACAAAGTTAGCCTATGTATACCTGATCTCCAGGACTTTGAAGCATAGCCACCAAAGATGTATTCTCCACTTTTGATCACCAAAAGAGTAGGCCCTTTCTTATCACAACAGCGGTGAAAAATACCAGGATTTTTGCCATTTACAGAGGCACAATACAGCAGAGAAAAAGTAGTCCCAGGTGACATCCAAGACAGAAGAGTTGAAACGTGATTTTTATCCTTTATTATTGATGAGTGTATTGGAGACAGCGCTTCCTCGAGATAACTAATTATACCTTGAACTTGGTAAAACTTTGCTTCTTTCAGGAGCTGCTCTTTAGCAGTTTGGTCATCAGGGTAAAGAAGGTCACCATCGCGGAGGTAGTTCAATATATATCTTGATAGGAATAAAGAGAAAACACGGAAAACAGTATATTGGAACATTAATGTATGTTGAGAAATGGACTGTGTGACTGTCACACTGTGGAAGTGAACTTTGTTCCTTTTGTTCTCGTTACCCATTGATTAGCTGTAATCACGTGATGTAAGATTAGGATTTAAGAAAAGATAACCATGTGCAAGGCGACGTGTGATTGAGCGAGTTTTCGTCTTTGGGACATTAAAAATAGTTAAGTATGTCGAATCTGTGGGTCGTTTTAACGTGAATATTTTCGGGAAAATCTCTTGTGTTAGAAGCAATCGGAAGATTCCTGACATGTATATTGCTCACTTCATTGTTAGTATCCCGTTTTTTCAATACCTTTTCTGTTGGGGTAGAATAGGCACTCTCACTTGAACAACACTAACTATCCTTCTCTTTGAGATACAATTGAGATACAGGCCTGATTTTTTTCAGGTCTGATTTTCGCTATTGCTTAAATAGCGCTATCTACTGCGAGGATCGTGCATCATATGTATCTAAAACCGCAGTACAAAATATATGAACTTCATATATTTCATTGTATCTCATTTATCACTTTCACGGGTTTATTACGAATCAACTTAACGGCCTGCTCCCAGTTGGCTTGTTAGCTCAATTGGTAGAGCGCTGCACTAGTATCGCAGAGGTCAGTGGTTCGAATCCCGTACAGGCCTGATTTTTTTCAGGTCTGATTTTCGCTATTGCTTAAATAGCGCTATCTACTGCGAGGATCGTGCATCATATGTATCTAAAACCGCAGTACAAAATATATGAACTTCATATATTTCATTGTATCTCATTTATCACTTTCACGGGTTTATTACGAATCAACTTAACGGCCTGCTCCCAGTTGGCTTGTTAGCTCAATTGGTAGAGCGCTGCACTAGTATCGCAGAGGTCAGTGGTTCGAATCCCGTACAGGCCTGATTTTTTTCAGGTCTGATTTTCGCTATTGCTTAAATAGCGCTATCTACTGCGAGGATCGTGCATCATATGTATCTAATACCGCAGTACAAAATATATGAACTTCATATATTTCATTGTATCTCATTTGTCACTTTCACGGGTTTATTACGAATCAACTTTACGGCCTGCTCCCAGTTGGCTTGTTAGCTCAATTGGTAGAGCGCTACACTAGTATCGCAGAGGTCTGTGGTTCGAATCCCGTACAGGCCTGATTTTTTTCAGGTCTGATTTTCGCTATTGCTTAAATAGCGCTATCTACTGCGAGGATCGTGCATCATATGTATCTAATACCGCAGTACAAAATATATGAACTTCATATATTTCATTGTATCTCATTTATCACTTTCACGGGTTTATTACGAATCAACTTAACGGCCTGCTCCCAGTTGGCTTGTTAGCTCAATTGGTAGAGCGCTGCACTAGTATCGCAGAGGTCAGTGGTTCGAATCCCGTACAGGCCTGATTTTTTTCAGGTCTGATTTTCGCTATTGCTTAAATAGCGCTATCTACTGCGAGGATCGTGCATCATATGTATCTAATACCGCAGTACAAAATATATGAACTTCATATATTTCATTGTATCTCATTTATCACTTTCACGGGTTTATTACGAATCAACTTAACGGCCTGCTCCCAGTTGGCTTGTTAGCTCAATTGGTAGAGCGCTGCACTAGTATCGCAGAGGTCAGTGGTTCGAATCCCGTACAGGCCTGATTTTTTTCAGGTCTGATTTTCGCTATTGCTTAAATAGCGCTATCTACTGCGAGGATCGTGCATCATATGTATCTAATACCGCAGTACAAAATATATGAACTTCATATATTTCATTGTATCTCATTTGTCACTTTCACGGGTTTATTACGAATCAACTTTACGGCCTGCTCCCAGTTGGCTTGTTAGCTCAATTGGTAGAGCGCTGCACTAGTATCGCAGAGGTCAGTGGTTCGAATCCCGTACAGGCCTGATTTTTTTCAGGTCTGATTTTCGCTATTGCTTAAATAGCGCTATCTACTGCGAGGATCGTGCATCATATGTATCTAATACCGCAGTACAAAATATAGTCATTTTTCTGCTTCGTCAAGCTCATTATTTTGAAGCAAATTGTGATTGGAAATTTATTGCAAAATTCATTCAGGTTAATTTTGACCGAGGGTTAGAGTTGCTTGACATGCGGCAGAAGTCACTAACAAGGAAATTTGGAAACTTTTAAAGAGAGTCCAAGTAAATTTCATCCATTCTAAATATTTATACAACTACTGCTACTTGTACCAGTCACTTTGCAAAACCAGTTAAGAAAACTAAAACCATTAAATTACAAGATTCAGAAAGCTATCGGAGTTTATTTTAAAATTACAAAAAATTAATTATTCCTTAACCGTGATGTAATTATTTGATTCGTTGTTTATTAGACCAAGGATCATTCCATTTTGTTTACTGAATGATGCTTTATGAAAAAAATGGTTGTTACAGCATTTAATTTGCGTTCCCCACCTTTTCACCCGTCCTACAACCTGAGATATTGGAACAAGCCAATTCGATGGAAAAAAAGTTAGCGAATTCTCTCCAATCAAATTTCTTATAATGTAACGCTAATGTCAACTAGCTGCCTGACTCCGCTGATGTCAACTGGCTGCCTGGTTCCGCCAGCCCCCTATGGTTATTGCAGGCTGCCAATACCCTAGTTTTATTTTCAAATTGTTATTGTAATAGCCTATAAAGAAAGAGAGATTGTTGTTGTTGTTATTCTTGTTGTTGTCTAAAGCTAAGGGTTCTGAGTCAGACTAAAACTTAACCTTGAATACTTCAAGTTCTTCGATTTTAAACGGGTTTTTTCCAGTGAAGTAAGGAATGTTATCAACACTTTCAGGACAAATAAAGCCATAACCTAGATCAAAATAGCTTAAAATTTCTTCAGGGCGAGTAGCATTAAATGTTCGCCACACTTCAAGGTCATAGAACTGAGAGGTTCCAAAGGAAGGACCTTTTCTACTATCGCAACGTATACCACCATGAGCATCTGCTTTTGGATTAATCTTCACCGGTTCACTTCCAGAAGGATTTTCCAGCGTGAATAGAAACGAATAGCTATCTTCAATGGCTTTGATGGGAGAAGCTGAGAAAAGGAAAGGTCGATTATAACATATGGACAGGAAATGGAAAGGAAAACGAATGGGCAGACAAATAAATGGGCGTAGTCACAAACAGTGATTACTTTTATTTTTACTGCTACATAGCTAGTCTATACCTGATGTCCAGGACTTTGAAGTGTAGCCACCACAGATATACTCTCCACTTTTGATGACCACAAGAGTGGGCCCTTTCTCATCACAACAGCGGTGAAAATCTGCAGGAGTTTCGCCATCTACAGAAGCACGATACATCAGAGAAATAGTAGTCCCAGGTGACAGCCACGACAGAAGATATGACTCGTGATTTTTATCCTTAATTATCGAGGAGGGTATCCCAAAGGACAACGCTTCCTCGAGATGATTAATTATTCCTTGAACTTGGTAAAACTTTGCTTCTTTCAGGAGCTGCTCCTTAGCAGTTTGGTCCTCAGGGTAAAGAAGGTCACCATCGCGGAGGTAGTTCAATATATATCTTGATAGGAATAAAGAGAAAACACGTAAAACAGTATATTGGAACATTGATGTATATTGTTCATTTCATTCTTAATATTATTGAGGTTCGCAGAATTTTCAAATTTGACATTCTTTTCGGAAATATCTTTTTTTATTGGGGTGGAATATACACTCTCATTTTAATACCACTACCTTCCCTCGTCTTTGTTGTCAAGCCCTTTACAACCCAATACAATCAAAATTAATATGAAAGCGATCTTCGNNACCCGAACTCAACCAGTTTATTGACTGACGTAATAACTACGGAGCTATACCAATAACCAATACGACAATACAATAACTATCTTCTTATCTAAGAGCCCTCTATAAAACTAAAATCTCAGTGCACTACTGTACAACTCACAGTCCTCTTCAGAGATCCTTGCAACTTATCGATGTCCACTTAAACTTTTTCCAACGTAGCCTTCCACACGGCTGACGACTCCAGTAACAATACTAGCTTTTCCCGGCTCTTCGCAGCAGCACTAACTCACAGATGAAAGTCTAGCTTATCATGTTTATAAAATGTTGTTGAACATTCCTTAGGGATCTGTAATACAACTATTTTTAGTATCGTTACATCACTATTGCATCACAACAAAAAATGGTGACTAAGGCTTCAGGAAAGTTCTATTAATAGTTCTCAATGAGTCAGCACGACTAAGCGTTCCAGAAACTTCCTCATTTCTATTTTTAGGTAATTATGTAACACAACGCTCTCCATATCAAAAGTTTATATAAAAATTGTTTAAAATGATTTCCACACAATCACAATCAAGCCAGAGCTCCTCTAACATCATGCGAAAGGATTCATAGGGGAATCCTCTTTTGTGTTTATTTGTACCGTATGATATTTGTTCTGGTATTGCGTGACAATTTGGCGATCAAACTGCAAAGCAAATCGTTCCTTAACCATCATACATGCGTCGTTCAGAGGCTCAGATTTCTTAAGTGCCAACACCATTCATAGTAAGACTGTATGATAAGTTCTAAGAGCTATTAATATATTTATGACCAAAAAAAATACACCCAGATAATTAACTTTTAAAAGATACTGTGAAGGAGGAAAACCCACTGAAGGGGAGGTCTCGCGATTCGCTAATAGCAGCCTCTATTTTCACGAAGTCCGTCAAACGTGAAAAGTGAACTCGGAGCAGAGAAACCTGACCACAGGTTTGGTGCAGCCGGCTCTTCGCTCGCTTTCGTTTAAACTTCGCGTTCGATGGCCTAATCAAGTAAAAAGCGAGACGACCCAAGCTAAGGTAGCCTTTACTTTCTACTGTAACAATACAAAAACGGTATTTCTCTCATTTCTTAGAATAAGGACAATTTATCCCTTTTCGGCATATACTCAATCAGGCTGTTTCAACAAATTAAGACTTTAAAATATTAAAGGGGGTAAGTTTCTAACGAAACTGTGGTGCTGCGTCAGTGGAGGTAACAAGGTAATTTCGTTTTATCAACTAAGTTGAAATTGTAAACTGGCCACCATAAAGAGTTAAAAAGCTGATGTTTCAAGCGTTAGCTCTTCGTCAGCGCTCGTTAGCCCTTCGCTGTGACGAAGGCCAAACGCTCGAAACGTCAGGTTTTTACATCTTTACGGTTTCAACTTAGTTGATAAAACCAAATTACCCTATAAAACATTAGTCACACTTAGACAGTACAGAGAAGGCAGATTTTACTTATGTTTTTTTCTTAACCGCGTTTTTGAGTAGAAAGTCACCATATGATTTGGCCCGCCGACAGAAATTGGCGAGTTTTCACACGTCGAACACAGTATACCCGCACCGCGTGTTGGCATTATCTGAATCGGTTCAGATGCAGAAGAGTTTATCAGGGCGAATAGGAAGCAATGGTTGTCTTCTTTGATTTTTTCAACTACCAAAAGGAAAGAAGTGGGAGTGCCATGGGTCAAGCTAAAAGTTCACCGAAGCTAGTTACTCAGTAGCCATCGGCTAAACAAATGAAATATTGTATTTCTTTCATATTTTTTTCCT